TTCTGATCGAGGTCCAGACTTTGACTTTTTGATGCACGGAGGGCCACTTGACAGGGGCCATGCAATGACTTGATCGAAAGTGCATTAACGTGAACGCCTTAAACACAGGGCTAGGCTAGGCAGGTGAATTCGTTGGGTGTTCAAAGTCGTGTCGTTCGCGGGCCGTAGGTTCATAACCTTAATAGATGGAAGTGAGGGCACATCCGTGCGCCACCGAAGTGTCAAGTGTAGTGGGCTATAGTTACAGCTCCCACCGTCCATATTTTAACGTTCAACGTGTGTGGCTCTAGATTAGGGGTTTCCAACCTTGGGGTAATTACCCCAAGGAGGAAAATGGCGTTTTGCGGGGGGTAAATATTAGTACGAGGATTGGATCATCAATCGGTCGCTAAACGAGTTTAATAACAAAATCATCCGTATCAGAACATGTCGCTAACTACCTATGCACTTTGGATTAGTCATCAGTGACCAGCCATTAGTCACTGCAATCAGATGACGCCTCTCTCGGCTCCCGTGGCTATCGTCAGTTAGTCCTTCGCCGGGTCGAATTATGGAGTCGATTGCAAACTATACCATTTCCCGGCCAAGTTGTCCACTTGGGCAACAGAAATAATCTGAGGGGGCATTCAAAATGAGTCTACTTATTTTTCAATGGTCAGGCCAGGTGTCAACTCGTCCTATTGCTCTATCATCGCCTAATACTAAGTACGTCCATTCGGCCGTGCATGTGCTCCCCGGTCGCCAAATGGAATACGCATGCGTTGGTGCAACAACACTGTTCACAACCAACTGGACGAGGCAAGTCACGGACTTTGGTATCCGATGGCAACAACCGGCGTTATGCACAGGAGACACTGATAAGTGTCGTGAAATCCTGTGCTATGTTGCAAGGCTAGTGCAAGACTGACGTAACACGGAAACAGCAAATTCCTCCCCCTTGCTACTTGAGAGGTCTGTGTTTTTGGATGCGTCCTCTTGTTACAACGCGATGACACAGTATCACGATCCCCAATAGCAAGGATGAGGAATTTGCTGTTTCCGTGTTACGTCAGTCTTGCACTAGCCTTGCAACATAGCACAGGATTTCACGACACTTATCAGTGTCTCCTGTGCATAACGCCGGTTGTTGCCATCGGATACCAAAGTCCGTGACTTGCCTCGTCCAGTTGGTTGTGAACAGTGTTGTTGCATCAACGCATGCGTATTCCATTTGGCGACCGGGGAGCACATGCACGGCCGAATGGACGTACTTAGTATTGGGCGATGATAGAGCAATAGGACGAGTTGACACCTGGCCTGACCATTGAAAAATGAGTAGACTCATTTTGAATGCCCCCTCAGATTATTTCTGTTGCCCAAGTGGACAACTTGGCCGGGAAATGGTATAGTAGTTGAGCCTTGGTCAGACGACCAGGCAAGGTGACGCGCGATTGTTTCCAGGTTAGAACGGTCAAAACGGGCGATTAGTGTTCACCACGTATAGATACCGAGTGGTGGTGTCATCATGCAGGAATGACTTGGAATGCAACACGTGAGAAGGCACTGATATCTGGTCATGTTTGCTTATGAACCACATACGAAAGGGTCATGTGATGTCTTGAATGGAGATTACAGCAGGCGTTTGAAAGCGCGCAGAACACCGCATTTTGCGTCACAGAAAAGACAGAATCAACGGATTGGACGCCAGTGACCATTGGGTGTTGGGTTGATCACATTCATCTACAGTTGTTTGTGACAAGAAACCATAGCAGGTGAGTGATTTAATTCAATGGTTTTGATATCGACAATAATGAGTTTATCTGCAAACGTTTACGATAATGTCACCTACATTAAATCACGAAAGTATTCATATATATATATATATATAATTTAGTTGCCTAATTTTTTGCAGGAACCATGTCTTCTGGAAAAAACGGTCCTACAAGGAAGCTTTTCTGCAATGGAGCCTCACCATATTTGTCGACAAAAATGTTGAGAAGACGTCATGTGTTTTGTGCAGCTAAGTGCTCACAGGGGAGAGCATGAAACCCAGCAAATTGAAAGACCACTTCGACCGAAGTCATTCTCAGTTTGTAGGAAAAGATATTACATTATTCAAACGGAAAGAAGCTGCGCTCAAAAGTTCGCGCCTGGATGCATCAGGCTCCTTTTTCAGTTAACTGTAGCTGGTGTTGAAGCGTCATACAGCATCGCTCTCCGAATCGCCAAAAACAAGAAACCGCATACTATAGGAGAGAATCCCATAAAAACTTGCATAATGGATGCCGTGAAGCTCGTTCTTGGAGAGCAACATGCAGAAAAGCTAAGCATATCACTGTCTAACAACACAATCAAAAGTCATATTGAGGATATGAGCAATAATATTTTGTATAAGGTGCTCAACGAAATAAAGTCAAGTCCTTTCTTCGCAATACAGTTAGAAGAGTCCACGAACGTTGCATCCTGTTCCCAACTACTGGTCTATGTTCGGTACCTAAAAGGCGACCGCTTCAAAGAAGAGTACTTGTTCTCAGAATCATTGAGCACAACTGCAGGTGACGAAGATGTCTTTCGAACAGTGAAGGATTTTGTCAAGGAAAAGGATCTACAGTGGTCGAGGTTGGTGCGTGTCTGTACAGACGGAGCACCATCCATGTTGGGCGTCCGTTCTGGATTCCAAACGTTAGTCAAAATATTTGCCCTGCACTGTATCTTCAGCCACTGCATAATACATCGTTATGCTTTAGCAGTGAAAACTCTTCCACCTGTTTTGCTGGACACGTTAACCAACGTAGTGAAAATAATACATGTCATCCGCGGTAGTGCGACATATACAAGAGTTTTCAAAGAGTTATGCAATGAATTTGGAGGCAAATTCGACGTGTTCTTATTGCACACGGAAGTTCGTTGGTTATCACGAGGCAGGGTGTTGCACCGAGTGCTCGAACTACGAGGAGAAATTGCAATGTTTCTTGAATGGAAGGAGCTGCATAAGGATAAGGTGAACGGGTTACACGTCATGATAACAGACAACATATTTATTTCCAAACTAACATATCATAGATTTCTTCGGAGAAACAAATGCACTGTACCTCAGCTTGCTAGGAAATATGGTTAATATTTTAACTGCTCAGGATAAGGTTGCCACTTTTCTTCGTAAAATGCAGCTTCACCAACGCAGAGCAACAGTTGACGATGTGTCAATGTTCCCAGAACTATCAATGGTGCTCGCTGGAAGAAATGAAACGTTCGCTTTCACAGATGATATAACTTGCCACTTGTCATCAGTGGTCCATTCCATCAGCAAATATTTTCCTGACTTGGAAAATCACCAACTAAATACCTGGATGCTAAGATTCTTTTCAGTGGATGAGGAAATCTTTCCGGATACTGCCATCGAAGCCAAAGCACAATTCCTAGGAATACGCGAAGATAACGAATTAAAAATGGATTTCCAAAGCACACCACTGGTAGCATTTTTGATAAAGATAGGTGGTGAGTATCCATTGCTATCAGAAAGAGCATTGAGAATACTGATCCATTTGCAGCAACTTATAGATGTGAAAGTGAATTTTCGACAATGGTTTCAATGAAAACAAAATCAAGAAGTCGAATGAACCTGGAGCACGACTTCTGATGTGCATTAGCAGAAACTGAACCAAATATTCCAGAAATTATTAGCACTAAGCAATATCAACCGTCCCATTGATGTCTGTCGTCCTGATTACATACAATGTTGTACCAAACAACTGTTTTCTTTCCTTTATTGATCGAGAGTTATTCCAAATGGCTATCAGTTCCCGTACTTAGAAGCAAACAGCGCAATAGTTATTCGTCAGTTAGCGTTTGAAACGGAAAATGGGGTGTGGGGCGGGTCGATTATAGCAAACCCCATTTGTGAGAGCCTCAAAAATGTTAAGAATCGTCAGTGTACAGCAACATGCGTTAGGGATAAGTGTGCTATCACCTTCTAACAGCACCATCAAAGTCGCCTTCATGACATCATCAAGAATACTTTGAATGCTGGGTTCTTAATGAGAGAAACTCAGATTTTCTTCGCACTACAATGGGGGTCTCGTTTATTTGCATGATCGAAAGTAATCACATATGGTATTCATTTGCCGTAATGTAAAGAAGAAATGCAGTAGTTGCTAGCCACTTGTCTTCAGGAAATTTGGGGGTAACTGCCTAAAGTGAACCCGCTTTGGGGGTAATGGTCTCCAAAAGGTTGGGAACCCCTAGTCTAGATGGATTGCAGGCGAATTCTAGGTCCTCACGAATAAATCGTACTACTGATAAAGTAAAAGTAGTGTATTCATTCTCGCTTTCTGGCTGCTCTCTATGTGAAATAGCTAATGTGCCCATCTTTTGCCTGTTTACTACTGCGTTTTTAACGCTAACTGGTGCTTTGAACACTTGAATGTCCTTGGTTGTACTGCGTTACTTTTTGAAAATTGAGCTCCGATACTTTGGCGGTGCTCGAATCGTATCTGTGGATTCGCTTCCGCCATGTGTTGGGGATCGCATTGCACGCTCAACCACGCCGTACTTAATACTGACAATCCTGTTAACTACCTTGTATTTCTGCTACTTAGCTCGCTTTTATCTAGCGTATTGACGCGAATTATCGCTCTCTTATTCTATGGTTCTGCTACGCGAACTCGGCTATCCATTTACTCAACTATTGTAAACCTCGTTCACAGCTGTTTACCTCTAGTGTGGTGTCACATCACGATGGGCAACGCTCACATAGTATTTATACATCTACTTCTTTCCGAAATGCTCAGTTCAGGGCACCGGGGTAGTTCTGGTTCGTCATTGTGAACTTGGCATCGAACTCGTTAATGCAATGCGGAAGCGGCTTGGTGGGGCTCATTTTACCATGCTCAGCTAAATTTCGCTTAGATCCGGTTTTTGGAAGATTTGCTTTCCAGTTCACTTTTTGTGAGTTTACGACGCGTTTAGCTTAGCCAAATTTACTTAATGTTCGCTTACTTTTTGTCTGTTTTATTTTATTCCAGCGCTACTCTACCGAAAGACATGGATGAAGTGTCCAATCTGTCCTGTCTTCGCCAATCCAGCGTTGTTCAATTACCATCACCTTCCTGTATATGTCTATTCTGCGTTTGTTTTCTTTTAAAATGGTGGCTAACTGTTGCAGTTAACTTTAAATTGCACTTGTCTGATGTATGTTTTTGATTACCAAGATAAACTGCCTCAGACATTTCGCCTTTACTTGTTCTGCTATTCGACGGACTTCCTTATTTTTTGCAAGAAAACCACTAAAGTGAGCCAACTCTTGACAATTGTATGATATCGATACTTAAGTACTCTCATCGGATAGGTAACGGGAGTACTTCTCGCCATTAACAATTTACGGAGTCATTATTGACTGCTGGAAGCTTTTGTGTGTCAATTCGATTTCGCTCATTCTATCGTGAAATCTTGACGCCAATGTGCCGTCCATCGCTCATTCTTCTTCTGTTGTCTTCTAGGAAGCTCTTTGCTAAGTGCATTTAATTAAACTACGAATGTCATTTTAGGTCCCTTGTTTAAGTGCAACGAAACAAATCAGCTGTATTACACCTCCATTAGACTACCTGATGTTTATTCATGGCTTCGTCTGATCGGCTTCTAGGAACCACACACCGATCGATGATTATTTCCATAGCTGACTGTCACAACACTTCGGATGCAACTTGTCTCATATGTACTGGCTAATCCGCATATCTCGTCTGTGCCATCTATTTCTCCGTCTCACTACTCCTTAACTGAACCGGTAGCGATCACTGCCTTTACGATTAACTCTCGTCGACACCGGTCTCGCATTCATTGAGACCAACAGCGATGGCCCACGTTTCTTCTTAAAAGGAAAAGCAACATTGTGGATCGTCTCTAATGGAAGTTTGTCCGATCTTCCGGTCACTTCACGTAGCCGGTTGTGGGGTGATCAGCCAACTCAATGTTTTCGTCTGCGTCCAACACCGGTGACAGATGTGCTCCAAGCCGCTGGATGCTGAAACCCAGCTCCCTCAATGCCTGTGTCATCCCACATTCACGCCCCATCTGTTCGTACTGTACCTAACTGTCGTAACAACGGCTACGGTCGTCAACCACTACATCTTGGGTTGCAATCCCATCTCCGGTTATCCCTACTTGAAGAATCTAAACAAGATGGAAACCGCTCGTGTTTTGGGCGAGCAACACCAAAACCCCCGCTTCTGATGCAGCAGCCCCAGTGATCGGATTGGTCGAGGTTCAGTTGAAAATGCGTGTCGCAATGTAGACACACAGCGCTGCTCCATAACCCAACAGTGGTCACAGTTATCTTACGTATCATGGGAGAATCAACATGAGATCGATCCTACTTAGCTATATGTTACTCTTTGCTCTAGTGCCGAACGAAACTTTCTAGTAGTCAGTAACACGCGACATGTTCATCTCACCAACTGCTAGAAAGTGACAAACCACAGTGTTGACCCTCGAATTCAAAAGCTCTTTCAGATCATTATATCTCTACGTGCCTGTGGACACATGTCCGGTGTATCACTGAACGATCTGAGGAGCTCTCTTGTTTTGCTTATCGGAACCCGTAGGCATCCGGTTTTACGGCGAACTGTGTTTCCTATATTGCTTTTCTTCATCATTCCGTCCTTACTGGTTCTGTGTTGAAGCTAACTAGCGCGTAACCACATCATACAGACATCACAGTTGTAGCCTCGTCTGGTTCAACAACTTCTAGATGGCTGGATAAGTTATGCTAGGTGCCTTTACTTCATTGCCCGATTCGCGGAATTATGGCATGAGCTACTGTTGTCGCTATTCCTTCGATTTTTCGGGCTTATGGATCCGGTACCATTGGTCGGTCCACCTACCCTGATAGTCGAAAAATCGAGGCTAACTGTTCGGCGTACAATGATGTTTCGTGCATTACTAAAATCCAAAATAGCTTTTCGGCGTTTGTGTGTCTGTACGTTACTTCTGACCTAACTTAAATGACCGTGTACGTAAGTAGATTGTGTTATTACTCTCAGTTAACAAAGTAAGGCTTTGCTTCTTTCCGTTTGGGAGATCAGAGACACGGCCGCTGCATCTTAAGGACGTTAGTGGAACGTTAGGTTTCTCTATACTGTTTCCCTTATAGAGTGGGACCACCGAGTGAATGACGCTTAAATCTGCCATTTCTTGTTTAACGCATTATCTACCAGTGTCCTATATACAGTTAAACATAGATTCTTTTATCGGTCATCCCATTGCCATACTTAGAGGATAGATTGTATATAGATACGCACATAAACTTTTGTCTTCCAGGGGTCTTAAGCAACAAGTATTACAGGGAAAACAAAATTAATTTGGGAGATAACAGGTGAATAGCGGATGTGGTACCGCAGTGGCTCATGTTTGAACCTGACTAACGTGTTACGGTTAGACCATATCCCTCGCACGCCTACCGACTTACTGTCCCGGTGTATTTTTGCGCTTGACTCACTGGTTTTGGTTAGACTCCAGGGTAGTCAGTCAATGATACCACAATTTAGGCATGTTATTGCGCACAGGTTTATGTTGTAACGCAGTCGGCGCTGCTTGGCTGTACTCTCCGACACTGCTTAACTAAGGCGTCAGTGCTGCCCCCACATTTGATTCCCTATATCCAACTGCACTATCGATCCCATTCTGATTGCTCTGTTTTGTTTTTCTCTCCGTCCCCCCTCACATTTGCTCTTATCGCTGTCCTGACGAAACGAGTTGAGGCAGTGGGTATGTGATCAAACGAACTGCTATCCGAACTCAACTCGACGAAGGTGATGGTGTTAATGACGATGCTCGATGGAACAAGTCAACTCACCTGTACTGTGTCTCGTCGGATGCGTGTCTTGCATGCGCACTCACCGACTGATACCTTGCGTTCACCACAGTTCGCTCAGATGGGCGTGTTACCGCAGGCCCTCAATTGGTGTGGAAACAAAAGGATGAGAACGAAGACCTATTGACTCTTAATGCCTGCAGAGTTGGTGCTCGTGCAACTCTTCCGAACCACTGAGAACCGTGCAGCGAACAACGCTATCATGTGCACACCTCAATCATGCTATCCGCTCAAAACGCTTGGCATCTAGTCTATCTGGGGGAACATGACTGATCATAGGGTCGAGCGTTAGTAACTGAAAGAATAGTGTGTCACGTGGCGTTTGGCTTTCGCATGATGCTAACCACCGCATCGGCGCACTGCTGTTGACTATCGCCACTGTTTAGCATTATTGGGGGGTCCACTAATCCCTCTATATACTCGATTCCACCATTTCTTGTCCACTGTTCATATGGGGGCCCGCAATTTCGCCCACTACTTTGCTGGTCCCGTAGTCTTGTCACACTACTTGCTTCTCGTATATGGCAGCGAAATGTGTGCTGGATTATGGCCTCTATTTGGTGAAAGTTGCACGTTTACTTGGGACATCTATATCACCCATAAGTCCCAAGTTTGTCCGTATTTTAAGGCTGTGTATGCTGTTGTAAAGGGAATCCATCGGACACCGTTCTTTCGTTTTTAGCTCCCAAGAAAGCATTACGATCTGAGATTAGTTCCGGTGAACCGAAGTGACAGAGTAAGCATTAACACTTGCAACAGTAAAGCGCCATATGCAATTAATCCCCTACTTCTGCTCTTGCGCTGGGCAGTGATCATTGGGAAAATCAAGGGCATCTGGTTATCCATCATTAGGCTGGTTTATTATCTATCTGTCTGTGTTCCGCCGAGATCCAGGGTTCTGCACTTACAGGGTACTATGGGTATGTCATTGTTTTGGCGCTGAAAACTGCCTTCTTTATTACAAAACCGACCTTTGATATGGACTTTTTGATCACTCAGAAATCCGCGCTCCTGATTCGCTTTGGTGTCGGGTATGGTTGCGGAACAAGAACACATGTTTAGTAGCCGTAATTTACTGTCCACCAAACTCGACGTAGGAGCTGGACTACGAACTGAACGATGTTTTGAAGGCTGCGCTGAAAAAGCTATACAGCCACATCCTCATCGCTGGCGAATTTAGTGTGCACTACTTGGAAATGCCAGCACCCGACGGCACACAGTTTTAAGGTAGTTTGCAAGAGCTAATTTCCAGCTACCCTCTGTTCAACGACGTCATCCCTCCCACTATACTTCGTACGGTGGACAGGCAGTCGATACTTGATCTTGTGCTCACCAACGATGAACTCATGATCGACGGAATAGTTACAAGCGCTCCGTTGGGTCGCAGTGCCCATGGGACTCAACTCCTTGATTATGTATGCTATGCAGAATTTACCGAAGAGGAGGATGACGAGGCGTATACTGTCACGCGGTTCAATGTGTTGTCTACATTTGTTAAGGAAACAACTTGGATCTTAACTGAATACGCTCCTGAAGTCGTCTGGGAAACGTTCACAGAGACATTTGACGCCCGCATTGGAGCGGCACACGTAGATGTCTGTCCTTGATAGATTTGACATGGCGAGCTCACGGGGACTCTCGATGCCGAAACCTGGGATGCATAGATAGCACAGCTTAACTATTGTGCGAAATCGATCCGCGAGGACAAGGCGATACATAAACAGTAACTAAAGAAGCGATTCTGCACGAGCCGCAAACTCTTGTACACGCATGTCAGTGGCCTTCGTAAGGTTCAGCGCGGAATGCCAGCACTGGTTACGACGATCAACAAGAGGATCAGCTCATGTCTTACGGCTTTATTACTCTCATACGTACCAAAGAGTAACGAGCCCAAATTTTCTCACCGTTTCTATTTCCCCACCGTCAGGTTCCTCCAAATCACCTTCATTGACGAAACTGTGTTGGGATAGAGGTTATCCCTGTGTACCAATGGTTCTTCTGCAATCAAGAACATTTGTCCGAAAGCTCTGCAGAGAGAAGTCAGTGATGTAGCAGAACCACTGGCCCTTTCTATCAGCGCTATCTAGAAGAGAACAAAACTCCATCAATACGGAAGCGAGGGTCATCGCTCTTATTCATATGGGAGGTGGTCGCACTGGCCTTGTCAATTACCGTCCGATAACCCCGCTTCCTGTTCTCTCTGAATTTATGGAGTTAATCATAGTAGATGAATTAATGCAGTATCTGGAAAACGATAACACAATAGCCCTGGCGCAACGTGGCTTCCTCAAAAATCCATCGTGTATTACTAATATGAAATTGCACGCTGTAGCTAGACCGAAGTATTTAATGACCCAAAAACCTCCAATCGCTTTGACCATCGAATTCTTCGCAGACTTAGGCAACTCAATTATGGATTGGATTGGCAGTTTTCCACATGAACGTCGATTGAATGTGAGAGCCCAAGAATCCCTCCCCTACGCCATTGAGGTGGAGCGCGGTGTATCACAAGGCTCTGCGCTAGAGACTCACCTCTACCAAATTATAATAGACGACTTAGCGAGGTCAGTTGCAGACCAGCTCCCAGGAACGTGACCTTGATGTGCTCGCACTGAGTGACCTCAACTGTTCACAACAGTCCGAGGCAGTTCCGAAAAGGGGGCAACCAGCACGTCAGCCTGTTGCGAAGGGCATTCGGGAGATTTGATCCATCAGTCTTTTTTTGATGTACAATTCTTATGTACAATTCTTGAATACGCCATCCTAGCTTGCTAATCTTAGTTGGGGCGCGACTTGGAGGTGCTAGAGACACCACAACGCAGGGCAACACAGATTGTCAGGTGTGTACGCAATTTCTCTCACCAACAAAGGATAAAGTTACTGGGGAATTTTCAGCGGACTTCACCTGCGGCTACACGGTGATTTCATACTAGTGTACCAAATAGTGTATAACCCCAATCACATGTGCCGTCATTTGCTGAAACAGCCACAACATCAACCTCGAAAGCAACTGCCTGAAACTGAATGAACAATACAGCCACGTAGAATGTCGACGGAATTACTTATCGCTTGGTGTTGGCTAACTTTTTGGCTCTCTCTCCCAAACCCAGTTGTCCTCGTCCTTAGTTTGGATATCAAAACACGATTCGACGTTGCTCATAACACTCCGTTCTTTAAATTGTGCTGCTGTGGAATATACATCTCTATACTGGATTTATGTGTGATATGAGCCCAAGAAAATGGTACAGGATTGAGCGTTTTACTTTTTTCACAAAATACCTCAACTATACCTGCTCTTCATCTTTCTCTACGTGTTTACATTCAATCCCCACTTCACATTATCCTTATGCAGCAGCGCATTGAAAGCGTCAGACTTTTAAGCGAATTAAGCATATGTCCTTTGTATTTTTCACCCCAACCATGCTACGGGAATTGTCGAGCACCTGCTTTTTTACCCATGATAAATCATCCTTCAACTATTCTCTCTCTCTCTGATCCCAGCCATTGCGGACATTATACATCTTTTCTGTCGTGCGGAACAAACTGTGGGTATTGCACAGCTTTTTTTATTGAATTGAATGCTATTTACAAACCCTTTGACGAGTGCAGTGTACTCGAACTAGCGGACAATCCACAAATTTGATTGCGTCCTCTCATCGACACCAGGCTCTGCCTCATAAGTCCAATGTGTACCCACGGAACTCGTTTGCACGCACGTCTCTGTGTGACGATTTGGGCGTCTCTGAAAAGGCATACAGCAGGTATTCTTCATTTTCCCGATCAGTCTTCCGTCTTTCCTGACGGTTGTGTTCTTTAGGCACTGGTGGCGGTGGTGGGTGGATTCGAATGGATGCTGGTTGTGTGTTCTGCCTCGGGACGACTGTCGGTGCCGAGGACATAGCAAATGCTGTTGTTCTGGGCTTGATACCGGCCTCAATCTGAGTAATGCAGCTTGAAGATGTATCCCATTCAGGTTGCTTATCTGAAAGACCCGGTGTGTACATTACTGCTCGGGACGAGAAGGCGTCACGGAACGCGGCCTGAAACACTGATCCAATGGAAGTGGCCGGAGTTGCTAGCCGTATTTCGTGCCGAAATTGATCGGGGCTGGGTCTGTGCCCGAGGAGCATGGTGAGTACGATCAATGTGAGTAACGTGATACCGACCAGACACCCTAGGACCACAGTTGCGAGTTTCGCGTTGAACATTGGGAAAAAATACAAAGGAGGCGAAGCTAAAATGAAAATGGATGAAGAACGGCTGTATACATTGAACGAATGAGGCATCGGGCTTCATGACATCGAACCGCGAACCTTCCAATAAAATTTGGATCTGATCATCAATATTCTAACTAGACTGATGTTTTTTCCTATATAAATCATGGCCACGGTAATCAATCATAGGAGTACAGCCCGCAGCATGATTCGGAGATGGTCGCTTGCTCCAGAGACGCTTCTATTAGCGATGGCGAATGGCGTTGGTTGCAAAACGTCGGTGCTGAGGCCCTTAAATCGGCCGTTCCCTTTTCATTAGAACATCGTTTTTACCGTAGCTACCCCGGAGTCAACAATTTCTACCAGATATCCCTGACATTTTCTTTGGTTACACTATTTCAAGTTCATTAGCGCTCTGTTGCGTTGATATTTTTAAAGGAAACTTTGAGATATTGTGCATGCTACGCGAAATCTTACCAAAAGGCGTTCTCGTAACTTAGAGGATTATCGTTCCGATTGACAAACTAGGCTCCGACACTGTACCTTCAACAGAAGGCACATATCAATGATTCACTTTATCAACGGAAATCATTACCTACATATACGTGGCCGTATTCGGGTGACATCTGTGCACCCGATTCACTTTTTATAAGATTTGCATTTTTAACGCTACTACTATTTTAGTCCACCCGCGGTAGTTATCGTAAAATGCTGAAAATGCACCCACTCGGGGACATAAAGCCTATCTTGTCCTGTGACTATACTTTTAAGAGTTCGTGAATAGTTATGTGGAAGTTCCACTTCTCAGTTCTGTCTCGCAGACTGTATGAGTCATGTTCGTATCCGTGTTTTCTTAAGGGCGAATCGTACTGTCAACCACCAACACACATGAGCAATTGTCCCTCAGCTGCAGAATCTTTGATCCGTCATCTTACGGCATTGGTGCACATAGTTGGAAGGGTGAACCCTGTCTCCCACTATGTACCGTCAATTTTCTAAAGTGCCTTCTACACTGTGATGCACTGTCTTCATACTTAGGCTCAACTTGTCTTCTACCTTATCATAACTTGGTAGAATTGAATCCTCCGAGAAAATTGCCGCTCAACATGGAATAACTATTGATATTCATCGTTTACTCCCCTACCGCTTAAAATACCCACAGATTTGCAAAGGCGTCCACTTACGAGGAACTTGTTCAGCCAGTCCGTGGAAGCGTTCTCGCCAGAATGCCATGTGTTGTGATCGGAATTTATAGCGCATTGTGCTATTGAGGTGGATGAACAAATATCCCTCTTCATTCAACGTGTACGGCTCCCATGTGAGACTTCCCGTTTGTCCGACGGTGGGTTTACTGTGGTGACAGGAAGGAGAAACCAGTGACATGTACATCTAAAATATTGCTGAAAGCTAGGCTACTATCGTGATTAATTTCGCCGGAAATATCATTAAAGATCATCTTTATAAAGTGGGAATTTTAGGTGATCCAGTGAGCATCAACCGAGTAAGATGATTGGTTTATGTGGTAATAAAATGCCACTGGTGCAGATCGGGCGACCAATTTTGTCCATGAAATTAGTTGCAGACTGTGTACCCTTGGATTAAGGCCAGATCGCAGGAGAGAATAAGGATGGAAGACTAGGCGCATGTCACAGTTACCGAGAAAAGGGCCTGAAACAGGGCCGTACTAAGAGATTCGACGGTAATATTGCACACGTTTGATACAAGGAATGAAATCGGCTTGGGCGATATCGGATAAACCTTCCATAAGTCAGGTGGAAAACGGTCATCTTGGATCATTCGCGTGTGAGTTTACTGCGACACTCAATCTCACTTTGAAGTGCATCTCAGCCATTTCGGTCTCTAGGACTGTATCTGAAACGGAGAAATATTGAGTGTGGCCGGCTCACAACAGTGCAGTTCACGACTGTTTTCGTGGTCGTTCTCACTCGTCAGGTGAGGATATCAGGACTGCGGCTCAAACATCGGACGGATGCAGCTTGGAGAGCGAATGTCAAACCAACCTAAGTTTGAACACCCCATAATATGAGCTATTCGGGGCCTCTCCATTCGTGCCATCATTTGTGATGACACTTTGGTCCCTAGCCGCATTTAGCCTCTGGTTCATCATTCTATAGCCGCGACTGTCACTCTAATTTGTTTTTAATGCCACACTGATTATGCACTTGTCCATTTGGCCTGGCGAGGATTTTGTGCTTAAGGCCACCTACTTCGCTGCCGTACAACTACAATGGTCCGAAGAATGGAGAATACTAAGAAGAAGAGTGACCTAGTGTTTCACCTAAACCTCTTAAACAAACATTCGGGGTCAAGGCGCCTACACCTTGTGTCAACAACACACGGTCACAGGCAGCCGGCTGTCGTGCAAAGATGGGACGAGACAGCTTCCTTGTGGCTTTCACTGTCCCGCGTCATAATCAGCCATTACCCCGCAGATAATTCAGCACCCGACACTTAAACTGGTAATCCGACTAGACGACAGCTAACGAGCCACTGATGTCATATCCTGTAACGTCTCGATCAAAGCACTAGGTGGGTCAGGTCGACTCGAGTTTGAAAGGCTAGACGGACGAGCAGCACCCAGTTTAGTCGTCAGTGGCTTCATTTCCCGCTGCTAAGTTGACTTTTGCCCACCCCGAGCGTTGCGCAACTCTGCATCTGATTAGCAGTGACTAGTCATACGTAATATGTTCCCCAGCCAACGCAACTTATTCAACGACATTAGCTATTCGAAGGAACTAGCTTGAGTATCACTGCCTAGCATTCACCGATGCACATCGTTGTGGATACGCTCCCGCCATCCTACACAAGCAATACTCTGTAGGCAGCGAAGATCAAATACTTGGAAGCGCCTCACACCGAAGGGGTAAATTCTCACTTCAATAGAATAGGTCAACTCTCACTGGGGCCTTGTACATACAGCCTTTCAGGCCGAATGAACCCTTTTCTGATGCCACAGATGTCGAAGGTGCAGGAAATCAATACCAAGTTTCGCAACATCTGAACTAGCTTTAACAGTCACCCACTCATCGCTGTTAATGCAGCTGCTAAGGTAAGTGGATTGATCCTCTAGTTCCTCGCTATCAAGCATCAAGAGCTTATCAAGTGACTGGTGGTGCCTCGACAACACTTCGCATTTTGAAGGTGCGAAGCGCATGCCAAATGCTGGAACTACTCGATGTAGGTTATCTAGGGTTGAGTGAGCCACCCCAACATTGTTAAACGGCAAACGTCCACATTATCAAAATCAACTAGTTTCCCACCATGCTTCACTTCAACGCCTACATCGTGAGATTCCGGAAGGGGACACTCCATGATGATATCCACGACGAACGCCGGTTGTTGTCGAAAGAGATCCCACAAGTCACCGCAGATCTTGACGCGCACTATGATGTTGGAGTAGAAAGCATGTACAATGAGTACATATTTGATTGGGAGCATCTTTCCGAGTGTACTTCGAACAGAATGGACAAATCGATTGTCGAGGAAAGTATGACGATGCTCCGGCACCTGCCGCAGAGTGAATATATGGTCTTTACAGTCACCTACTGGACGGAAGCCTGTTTGCTCTTCCCTAATCCAGGATTCCCGTTCCGCACTGAGGCGAGTGAACAAGAATTAAGGGAACTAGGTTTGCTTTTACCGGTGTCAGGCCGAAACCTTTGTGGTTAGTACATTCGGTGGGGCTAGGCTTATTACATATCGCCAGTATGATCGATGCAGTCCAGTTAGTTGAGATGGTCCGTTACTTCCCTACTTGTTCGAACATATAGACTATGGTTTTGCATGGACCAAGTATCACCAACCATAACTAATACAGGCTCACTAACAGCTCTAAAACGATTGAGGGCTGTGCTCGCGTTTTGGAGCTCAATATCCGATGACGCCTCTAAAATAACCGGACATGATCGACCATGAAGACAGACAGGAGCAACCGGCCAACTAAATTGCTCTCGGAAGTGCTACGCCGAAGGAGCCAGGCGGTGCTCATTATTGTGGACTAGGATGCCTATGTTGCATCAGCTTTTCTCAGTAACGCTTTGTTTCCTGGAACTAGTGCGGATTATGGCAACAGTTGGTCATTTGAACAATACTGACCGACGCGTTGTGGGCAGGCAGGAAGCCAATAAGTCACTGCCGTTGCAAACTGTTCACGCGTGGACGAGCCAAAGATAGAAATCAGGATTAGTTCAGCCTACCGGTACCAAAGCACAGCCTTGTCACGAACAATGATGAAGCGGCAAGGCTGAAACAGCCACCCGCGGACGAAGCGTGCATGCTGACCAGACTTACAGAGGAGAACTGGCACACTCAAGGCGGACAACACTGACGAAGCAGTCGGTTTATGCGAGCAGAACATGAGGGCCAATTAACACAGACACGGTGGGGCACGTGACAAAGAAAGTTACCAATGTGAAGCCGTCGCAACTAACTAGCGTCCCCTTCGTTTATGTATAGTACTAACGATACTCTACTAATAACTGGTTTTGATGGTTGTTTAAAAGTATCTTGACTCTAAGGGGCTACCCGACACGAATCAGTTAGAAGAGCTTGCGATAATTGCCTACTGCAAGCAGAACGACAGAAGATCTATCTTCGTCCATGGTGTTCCCGAAATTCAGTCTTCCGTCGAGTCGCAAGCTCATGACTTAGAAGAGTGACGCTACATCCGCGAAGCCCTCCCTCCACGACATGATTGCCAACTCAACGTCAAGGTTACCCATATCACTTAACTATAAAGGATATAGTTCAAAGGGGCTAAAACTCCTGCTCCACTCTAAACAAATTTGTGAAACGGTGACTGGGAGTTAGCACGAGTTACACATCAGGAAATACGTCTGAAGGCGGTCGAAACAATTGGCTAAAGGAACACAAAAGCAGCGACACTTTCTCGCAAGTCCAGCTGGTTGCATTTCTGAACCGAAACGCAGTGCAACTCCACAGCCACCCGAAGAAGAAACAAGCGATTCGCCACAAGTCGCCACTGGAAGATTAGGTAACATGTGTTCTGCGTAACAGCCCGAAACGGCCCCGGGTGGTATGTCAGAGATTCATCCAAAAAGCGGTTGTCAGCTGGCTCCACGAGGGTCGGCGTAACTTCGCAGGAAATGTTTGTGTGTTGAGATACGATTCTGGCATCCGTAGCTATCAATTGTTTGTATACAAAATCGCAAGGCCTTCTCAGCAACTTGACCGAGCTCCAAACTCTTCAAACCTCAATGACTTGGGACCTCATCACCGGAGTGATGGCTGAACGACGTGTTTATTGACGCCAAATTGTCACTCTTGCGCAACGACCGATGGTGGCGGTGTAATTCTCTGCTACTGTTCCGACCTACACATCGACTGCGTTAACGATTCATATGTTCAAGCCGTAGTAAATATATTTGCAACAGTCTATGAATAGACATTGAGCCATCGGAAACCATGGAACTCAAAACAAGGTACAGAAATAGTAAAAGAAAACACAACACATTAAAGTCCATGGTTTCGTCAGAGGGCGAGATACTACCCGGTTGCCCAAGCCGAAGTAAGGTGTTGACTTAGGGGACACCACCCTGAGCCTTTGGCTGAATAGCCTGCTCGCAAGGCAGCGGAGCGAATTCGGGGAATCGCGTTCATTGGGAGCCAGTGACTGCTCAATTTATAGGCCTTTCGTTTGTTGCTTTGTCAAACAGGGACCCAATGCTCCCCAGAATTACAGCACAAATTTGCTGCAATACAATGTTTCGCCAGGATGAAGCAAGGGGCAGTGACTTTATTTAGTGGCGAGTCACGTCACAGTGTTGTTAGACGGATATATGTGGCTTTCTATAGGGAGAATGCTTGCCAGGCGAAAACCCACCACTTCCTGGAACACTGCCGCCGAACCATTTGCTGGAACGGGAAAATCCCGAACCACCCAGCTGGCACCACGAGGAGATTGTTCGGCAAGCCGCAAACTCATTATGGTGCCATTTACACCTAAGACAGGGAGATACATGTCTGGGGGTCATTGGATACCACCCACCAGTACCCATTTTATAAATGGACCAGGTTCTACCCTCGGCTATAATGAACCTACTGGAACGATCTTACGACGACGTTCTCCTGGTAGGGGAATTCAACTTACATGAACTAGCAACCCTGATCTCCCTCGGTAAACAATGCTATTTGAACTGCAAGAGCTCATCGCTGATTCACCACTGTACAACCATGTCACTTCTCCAACGCGCCTCAGGACAGGAAACAAACCAGCCGTCTTCATCGACGTAGTAACAACAGGCGCTCCTTTGGGCCGCAGCGATCGTGCTACACTAGTGTTCCGCCACATGTTCTACGCAGAACATCTTA